TACAGTTTTTTTTCGCGAGGCCCGAAATAAATGTAAAAGATAAAAGTAAAAAATAATATTTCAAATGAGGTCACTTAAATGTATAAATTTTAAGCGTATGATGTGTAAACAAATTTCTTTTATTGGAAAGGGGCGAACGAATCAAATGAAAAGCGAATTTATAAATGTAAATGAACGAATTAGTTTGATAAGAAAATATACACACCAAAAGTGTTGAGTGAAATATTGTAAAAAACAAATGTAGTTTGTGACGACAAATGAAGAATGGTTTTAAAATCAATTTGTTCACCATCATCCACTCTTAGTGGGGTGATGTAGCGTAAGCATGCGCACTCGTACTAGCGGTAACGCATGTAAAGTACAAGTGCGCATATCAAGAAGAGTTAATTAAAGAGACAGTTCTGATTATAACACACGATAGGAATGGTCGTTTTTATATACCTTGACACGTGTCCTTTCCTTTTTCACCACCTAGGCAGCATGAAATATGAATAAAAAACTATTATTGCTACAAAACCACATATTTCTTACCGGCACAAATGAAGCTTGGATTTAAGATGAAATGGCGTCCGAGACGAGTTTCACGCAATTTTCGCTGACATTCATTGCTCGGAATGACCGGAAGTTCAACTCGCTTCAATATCACTTGATAAAGTCCATCTTTGCCGAATTTATCTTTGCCTATGATGAGCAGAAATTAGAAATTAATGTGATAAATATGCATGACATGAGACAAAACCGACCCCAGCCCGTAGCAAGACAGCGTTGTCCATTAAACACAAAATCTTGTGGCGGGAGGCAAGCTGTATTGACATTTTCGGCAATTTCAACGGGCGTCTCCAGAATCAACAATGCAACATCATTAAAATGAGGTCCGCGCCGATAATGTTCGTGTATTATAACTTCGGTCACAGCCCGATCCTGATGTGGGTACGGTTCGTCAGTAGTTTGTGTATCCCACTCGCCGGCTCTGATCAAAATGTCCTGAACATTAGTTAGATCGATAACACAATGACTGGCCGTCATAACTACTTGTGGATGAATCAATGAACCGCCACATTTGTACACATTTACAGCGTAATTATTTTCACGAACTTTGTAAATAATGGCCACGGTCCAAGGAAATTCAGCTAAAATTATGGTAAATAATTCGTCAAACATTCGTTCTCGCTTTCTTTTCAAATTTAAATACTCACCAAATTGAGCCTCATTTTCACGTTCGATTAACGTAAATGCAGTGCCATTCTTATTCCGAATTCCACATTTATCTCGCATTTCGATTGGTGGCGGTGGATTAATAGTGTCTTTTACAATTCCTGTTTCCGATTGAAGAAAGCAACAGGTGTCGAAGAAGTTTGGACATGGGTGACGCTCTGGCTCTGGGTCATCATCGGCACCAAATCTAACATCTATAATTCCTTCGCCACTGGTTATTACCGAACCATTTAAACATAAATAGTATGGCACACATTCACCGACCTCACACGGCTAAGAAATATAAGCAGAGAGATGTTTTCTTTGATTTCGATTCAAATGGGAGAAATATAATAATATTGTCTCATTATACATTTGATATTTTTGACGATAATGATGGATTCTCAGCTGTACAAGATGAACATGAAGTCGTGGTGGTGATGTTAGCGATGACTGCATCGGTGGTGCTGCCAATAATCTTGCTGTCGATACCATCGGATTTGCTGGAGGTAGTGGGTGTGTTTACGAGTGTTTCCGTAGTGGTAACAGTTTTATCGATGTCAACATCGATTTTGGTAACTGTTTGGACCAAAATATTAGTACTATTGTTGATTTCCTTGTCGTTGCTGGCTTTTTGGGTGATTGTGAGTATTTCAGTTGTTTGTTGAACCAATTCTGATGATAAATAAATTATTTTTAAGAACGTACGATCGTAGACGTCCATTTATTTTTATCTTTGACATCAATTATCTATTCCATTTTCAAGTAATTCTTTGACTTCTTGTACATTACCTTAATTATATTGGAATACACGTTGTTAAATATCAAGGCTAATTCAATAAAAATGTTCAGATTGGTTCAATGATCACTCACCATCATAAGCGGCTCTGTGTAGTGTCTGTGCTTTCCATGATTCACTATATTGTGGAATTTTATTATTATTCGAAAAAGTAGATAAATTCAAAAGAGGTTCTACTTACTTTTCATCGGCTCGCCTCACTCGAAATTCTGTAATTAATACAAAAATCAACATAATTCTGGTTATTAAAAAAATCGATTGTCTTACCTGGTATACCGCTAACGGAAACAAAGCAAAAACCTACAACTATTGCAATGACTGACTTCATCTCGAAAGCAAATGTGCCGGTTTAAAAATGTGAACCTGTTTTTAAAAAACGTGTTTGTAAACAATGCAAAAAAAAACTATTCTTTTATCATTCTAAATGCGAAATGACTCATGATTTGTCTTTATGAAAGTGATGAGGGCATCGAACTTGGCAGACGCTCTATTTTTTGTACTGAACATTTTTTTGAACCGCAAAAATTTATTGAAAATTAACCATAAATCTCTAGTGATCGACAAAAATGTTCTGGATAACAAGCAAATTCATACTCTTTTCAAAAATAGTAAGATTTATTTTGGAATTTCACAATGCATTTTGCAAATTCACCAATTTTCAAAGCATTTTCAAAATAATATTTCCAAAAATGTCAATTGTTTGTTGAGATAATAACCAGGCAATATATTGAATTAACTGGTCAGTTGAGCTGACAGTACGTTAGCCAGCTAAATGGGCTAAAACAATAGACGTTATTGTTTTAATGATGAATCACTTTTCTTGTTTTAATAGAAGTGATTGTTCATTAAAACAATAACTTCTATTGTTTTAGTCCATTTAGCTGGCTAACGTACTGTCAGCTCAAATGACCAGTTAGTTCAATATATTGTCTGATAATAACCGTTTGGCACTTTTTGAGTTGAAGACAGGGCGAAACTGCAGTAAACCGAATAAAAACAAAACTTTTCGACTAAAGAACTATTTTCGAACAGGCAGGTCCACCGCGATGCACTGATCACCAGACACTGGATTTCGATTTATAGGTAATCGAAAGATCCAAGTTGCAGACATACATATTTTACCAATACATTGATTGTGCAAAATAAACAACTTTGGAACCAAAATAACAAGTATTTTTTCGCTTATACTCATTTGCCGTGTCATTGTGTTGTTGTACAACGTACCGAGTAAATTAAAATGCAAATTATGGTAAACTTCATTGACAAGATTTTTTAGTAGGAACTTGTTCACACCGCAGACCAATGACAATTATAGTTGTTAATTTCTGTATTCGTCGTCTGTATCATCGGAATTCCGTGTAGAATTTCTTGCCGAAAATTTGATCGGTCCATTCCAATAACGGTTTTGTGGTTAATGTTTACGCGTTAGCGCCTGGATTGAATCGCAACACCCAATTTTGCATATGTAACTTCTCCAACAAAATATTATTGACCGTATTCATTGCATCAAACATGATTGAATAAAGCAAATAGCGAATTTTAAAAAAGAGTATGTTTTTATTCAGACATTATTCAGCCATAAGCGCTGAATAACATACTCTCTTCTCGATATATTTAATAGATATAGTATAGCATAATCGACCAATCAATCAATATAAATGGGTGCTAACGAAATGATTCTGGTTCCATCCAATTTTACATCAAGAAAATCATATTTATAGGTTCAATTCCCACTCTACTATTTAGTTACTAATCCACTGTAGCACGATCATTCATTCGTCCAAATAGTATTATTTAACTAATTCATATAAATTCCCCGTTTATTCGTTTAAAATGCGTCCAATCATGAACGTATGCTTGTTGTATCGGTATGCGTTGTTACAATATACGATCACAACGAATGTACGATTGGAAGACGCACATGTATGTATTCTCTGCGTACAACATAAAATGTTACATGTGGGCATGGTTATTTATGGCATGATCTTCTATCTAATCTATAACGCGTATTTGTGCGTTCATTACATTCGTATAAAACTAAAGAGCTAGAGTGGGGAAGTGAGGTATGACCAAGAGATCTTATATCCACCTTCAGCTACGCAGACTATATATGTTCCGTTGATAAAAACAAAAATATTGTATGACATTCTACCAAAACCAAACCACCCAATCGGAATCAATTAATGCTCTTATTTTCAAGGAACAATTGTTTTTTAAATTTCTCTTAACATTAAATACTCCCCCCCTTTGCATGAGAATACACTTTGATGTTTTTTTAACGCAATTAAAATAATGAACACTTTGCATAAATTTGTCACCACGGTACCTCTTTTCAATCTTGACTCTGTTTCATTGACAGTGAAATGCAAATTCAATGTTAAAACATGTTAAAACTCGAATCAAGCATGCGAACACAATAATAACAAAACACTTCTTTTGTGTTCTAGTGTTTTAAATTACTTGTTTGGTCCAACTGTGGCTGTTCTGATATAAATCATTCAGTGACGCATCCGTTCATATACAAAATGTTAAAATTGTGTAAATGGTAATGATATAACTGATATATTAGTCACCAAACGGCGTAAATTTGATGTTTTTTTTTCTTATACCCAATTTATGACCTACAATCTTTCGGTTTACAGAAACGCGTTCATATTATCATTGTGTACAAGAAGTGATTTTCAAATCACTTCGCCGAATACAATCACACCAAGCATGTGTAGCCTTCCAAGTATTTTCGCTTCGATGTGTCACAATAGTGATGAATACTACTATTTCGAACAGTTTATTAAACTCAATTTAGCCTCTTTTAGAACCAATCGCTTACATTGTTTAGTTGAATTTAATGCGGGTTATTTGTCACATGTTGAAATATATTTAGAGATATGATTCATTCATATGAAAAATAAATATGCACTCCAATAAATGAGGGATAAAATTGGGAATTTTTGCCGAAATGCTGGTGACAAAAAATAAATAAACAAGCAAATTGACATTCCACTCGTGTTTCTTTTTTGATTCCTCATATCGATATACGGCCAGGATGTTTCTCAAATATCGTCTATTTTACACTAATTTACTTCAATTCTATGGTCAAGTAGTAAAATGGTTTAATTGAGATAGAAGGAAACAGTATACAACATAAAAGCAAATGTTCAGTTATATGTGCGGAATGAGTATTACTATGCGTTAGAGAAGTCGACGAACGTGTTCGTTCGTATTAAAAAAATTGTTTGTGTTCATTTGTGTTCGCATTGTCGGCCACTACGAATGAACATGTTTCTTCAAAACTGTTCTAGTTTAAATCCATACGCACATCTCTGCGTTAGTCCGTAATTGAACTATTTGGGATGCCTTGAAATTCATCATAATAAAACTCATTTTTGTTGTATCGTTTACTTTTTCAAACACTGTGAATACATTTTAGTGCAACGTGCTTAACAATTTATGTGAAAATAAAGCCACATCGTGAGTAAAATAATTTAAAATTAAATTAAAGACCTAAGTGATCTGAACCGTCCTTATCATTTCAATGATTTGTTAAATGAATCCTAAAAAGTAACTCTTATTTTTCTCCAAATCATAAAGTTTTTTATGAATAGTTTATTTGTTATATTACAATGTTGTTGTTAATTTTGAAATCGCTAAAAATCATTTTTCTACGCGTTTTGGGTATAGAGAAGCACAGAGTAACCATTGTTTGGCCATGTTAATGTGGGGATGTGGTACACAGTGTACAGTGTACCACACCATTGCTGCAAAGACACTTAGTTATTAGCGCCATCTAGTTCGTGCGAGAAAAAATCTTCACATTTCAAACACGTACTATTGAGTTACTTCACTATGCAATACAGTGAGGGCGCCAGTGATACGTGTTTTGCAGCAACCCAGTGCAGTGTACAGTGTATGATTTTAATTAAGTTTTTTTTTAAATCCAAATCACAAGAAATCAAATTTATTGATTTGAGCTGAACGTCTTCAATGTTAAATTCTTCACTTGCTGTTGGTTTCTATTAAGAAATCCAAGTGGAAGAGGACTTCATTGTTTTAGAAAAACGTACTTCTTTATTTGTTGATATTAAAACCAACTACCTTGAAATATTGGACATTTCAATGGTGATTTGAGTTTTTTTATTTTTGGGAAAAATTTGTTGCGTACCATTTTCTGGTTGTGATCAATAAATTAATTTGTTTTTCCATTCATAATTCATAGTAAGTGAACGCTATACGATTTCCCTTTACTCTTGTTAAATAATATTCAAAGTAGCCTCTGCTAAAAGTCGAAACTAATGATAGGACGAAGATCATAGTGTGTGAATAAAAATGTGTTTGTTTAAATGAAAGACAGTTGATGTGTGGTGTCTGAAAATGACTGCGAGACTGAACTGATGCATGTACTTATATAGTAGATGAGCGCATACATGCGCTTTACAATACACAATCACATGTTTGTAGTTAATGACATATATTTTGGTTTATAATTATTCTTACTTTATACTAAAAAAAGCAAAAATCTTGAAATTTCAGAGGAGTTTTTGAATACAAATCTGTATAACATGGATAACTCAGGACCGTCTTCAGCTGCAGTAAAAGGCCACCAAAAACGTTCACATTCATCGGATTCGACCGATAAGGATCAAGGTGCACATACATTAACAAAACAAAGAAAACGTGATGAATCTTACAATTCATCAGGTTTAAGACGTTCACTCCATGGGGTTGTCTATCAAATAAATCTTCTAATGCTGTTCGTGCATCGTGCTTCTAAAAAGGGGTATGACTTTTCTTTGGCAACCGAAATGGATGAAGCAGAAAAATTTGATGACATTGTCTTCAGGTATAAAGATGAAAAAGATAAAGTAAATTGGCGCTTCTTGCAAGCTAAACACAAACAGGATCCAGAGAAAACAAAAATCACTGTTGGTCAATTAAAATCAAGCGATAATGATTTTAGTTTGGAAAAATATTTCATTTCATATTGTAAAATTATGATGAATGATCGGTTTAAAGAGGCTATTTGTAAAGATTTCACTATTATAACCAATACCGATTTTGCATTTAGAGCCGAAGAAGAATCTAAACAATCGAAAAATGATAAAGAATGGAACGATTATTTTGATTATGAAAATCTTTCAAGCGTTGATAAAATTCTGTATTTTGAAAACGAGCATTTCAATGCAATAACATCAAAGTTTAAAAGTAATGACCAAGATAGCTGTTTATTCAACAATGTCAAAGATATTTTATTAGCAAATATTATAAGCCGTTTGGAAAACCTGACAAAAGATAATGCTCTTTATACCAAATGCTTGCTTGGAGCAGATATTGATCTGGTGATAGAAAAATTGAAAAAAATTCAGAAAATTGCAAAATTTAAGTATAAAAAGGCAAAAGCAAAAAAAATATACAAAAATTTAAAGAATATTAAAGACATCGTAGGATTTGTTGAGGAATTTAAGAGATTTTTAGACGAAATTGATGGTGTTTTAAAAGAACATAAAGATAATGATAATAATAAAGAGCAACGTAAGAAAATTGAGGAAGTCAGAGGTCAAAAACGTAATACTAATGTTGAGAAAACATTTTGGGAAAATATCTGTGGAAAAAACGATAATATTGATGAGAAAGCCACACCATTTCTAAATTATGTTGGTAATGTGATAACAGATTGTACAAATAAGTTAAGGGAATATGACAATTCGAATGAATACAAGTCGTTTATAAAAAAATTGAGTGAAGATCAAAAATTTATCGAGAAAATATCGAATGAGACTAACACAGAGTCTATTAAGAATCAAATCGAGAAAAATTCAATCTTTAGATGTTTGAACGTAATTACAAATGAAAGTAAACCGGATGAAATGAAAATAAAATTGAAGCAAAAATTGCAAATAATTTCCTCCGAAATAACAGTCCTACAATTGGCATTAGATGAACGTAAGTTTGATGAACAGCTTCAAGATTTTTTAGGGGTTTTTCGTTTCGTGATTAAATATCCAGACGAGGAAAAATTATATGAACTAATTGGAATTGAATTAAAACAGAAATTTGAATTAATGAATGCTGGCTTGATGTGTGCCACTTTGAAGACAGAAATGATGTGCTTTTTGAAAAAGAAAAATGGTATTTTTTTCACATCTTCAATGGCAGAAGAGTTTTTCACTGAGATGAACGGTGAAATCAAAAATTGTATGATCTCGGGCTTAAGCAGAGCATACACTGAAAAACTTGAACGTTATGGAATTCAATATGAGAGCAATTTAAAAGAACTGAACGATTTTATCAATCGGGAAGGAAATCTTGGTTCAAATGTGCAATCAATTTTTCATTTACGCACTAAAATAACACAATTATCTGCCATTAAAGTGAATAATACTTTAAAGAATTGTAAAGTTATATCAGACAGTTGCATTTTCATCCGTTACAAAATATTACAACTAGCAGCAACACAGACATTAGTTTCGGATGCAATTGATTCAAAGAATGTAAAATTTTGTGTAATTGAATGTCGAATTAAAAAAGGGTATGTTGACTTACCCAAAAACATTTTAGATAAAATAACTACATGGAATGGAGTAAAACTTATCCTTATCGCAGATAGTCAAACCGAATTTGTGAAAAATGATCAATTAGAAGAAATTAAGCCAGTTAATGATGAACATATTGGGTTCACATATTTAAATTCAGGTTCACAAGAGAATGTGCTTGGAAAAAATGTCAACTTTCAGGGAAAAGAGATAAAATTTAATGAAATCATCAAACTCGAATCGGCCAAAAAAATCATTGATGAAACAAATTTGTTGAAGTTAATAAAAGGAAAAGAGTTGCGCCTAGGAAATGAAGAGTCTTTTAAATCCATTGGCTATGTTGAAGATTATTATATCCCAAGAAGATTTAATCTAGAAAAAGTAGATCCACAAACTAATGAAAAAGAAAAATTTATTTATGAAGAAAATGAATTAGTTGAATTTGATCTGAATGAAAACCAGGTGATAATATTGACAGATGATCCTGGTGCAGGCAAATCGACTGTATTAACTAGTTTGGCCAAGCAAATGCATGAGGATAAAGATGTATGGATTGTACGAATAAATTTAAATGATCATGTACAATTTTTGGCAAATATTTCGGAAAATTATACTGGAATTTTCAATCGCCTATCCGAAATAGTAATATCTGACAAACAAGCCAACGTACAATTAGAACGATCACTCTTTAAAAAAGGTTTAGAATGTGGAATGCCACAAATAAAAATACTTTTCGATGGTTTTGATGAGATTTGCTCTACACATGAGAAGCAAACAATCAAACTAATGCTTGCACTTAAAGAAACTAAAGTTTTACAGCTTTGGATCACATCCCGAACTCATGAGGAGAAGAATCTAGAAGATAAACTTAAATCCATTGCATATCATTTCGAGTATTTTAATAAAAACGACCAAAAGAAATTTTCAGACAGATTTTGGAAATGGAATTTAAAGAATAAGCATTTGCATGGGCAGTTTCATAATGGAAGTTGTAACGATATTATCAAAAACTTGAAAGAACTTCAACAAAATAATTCATTTGATGAGAAACTGAAGAACGATATATACGAAATTGTACAGAGATATTCCGAAGAAAACTTGGATGATTCTGAGAAACTAAGATCAGCTATTGAGAAATTATCGTTTATCGAATATGCAGGGGAAATGCTTGAGCAATTTGGAAAAGAAACTGACAATAAAGAGTTTAGCATAGTTCCTTTGCATCTTAGAATGTTGACTGAAGTAGTTTTTGAGCAAAAACTTAAACTGAACCTTAAAGGTCTGGGATCCATATACGATACATTTATCGAAATGAAGTTTAAGATTTTCAAAGAAGAAAAAGCAAAAGCGGCTAATGGTAATTTAGCTTTGAATGTAGCAGTTAAATACTATTTAGACGCTGTGGAAAAAATTCATCACGAATTTTCATTGAAAGAGCTTTTTGAAGCATCCGAACTCGCTAAATTGCCACTTTTAAGAGAGTTGGACAAATTTAACGCTTTCTTTGGAGAGGAAGAGTGCTGTCTGGAAAAAGCCAAGGAAGAACTCGCTAGAATCGGATTATTGACTATTAATTTGAAATTTGTTCACCGTAGCTATGCTGAATATTTTGTAACCAAATATCTAATTAAGAACTTTGACAATTTTGAAGTGCAGATATTTTTATTAAGTTATGTCCCAAAACATAAACAAGTGTATAAGTTTTTCAATGAAAAAATTACCACGAATACCACGAATATAAAGTTTAAAGTTAATGATTTTGAACGTTTAGATTTTTCACAATTACACAACATTAATAAGGGTTTGTGTAATACGACTGAAGAAGGTCACGTTAACATTATTAATGTTCTACTTGAAAGTATTAAATCATCTGAAAAATTGGAGCTATTAATGAACAACCCTTTTCGTATGAGCAGTATTTTGGGAGTAGCCCTTCGTGGCTATCAAAATGAACTTGCTAAAAAAATGTTGACATTTTTTCTTGATTGTGGTTTTGAATATTTTAAAGAATTAATTTTTGATCCACATAATCGAGATTTCCCCTTATCGGATGCGGTTCTACATAATACTGAAATATTAAAATTTATACTAGAAAAGCTACAAGAAAATATTAATGACTATAGTCAAGAAAGAAAATTTCTATTTCATTTGATGTCAACAAGAAATCGGTATGGGAAGACTCTTTTCTATCAAATTTTCGACCAAATGCTATGTCAATATTTTAAATCCAGTTTAAAAGTTTTGTATGATCAGTATTTAAAGAGTTATCTTGAAATCTTTAATGAAAATGAATTGGATGATTTGGTAATACATTCTGTATATTCAAAAAACCTTCACAAAAACCCAAAGGAAATTTGTGAAATTCTGCATAAATTTTATGTCAATGAAAAATTAGAAAGTAAAATAAATAAAATTCATAATAGTTTGGATCTAGTTGAAAACAAGAGAAAAGAGTTAGTGAATGCAATCAAACATAGAAGAAGAGAAAAATTCGAACAAATTTTAAATGAGTCTGAAAAAAACGGCGTTCTTAAACAGCTTTTGTTAGCATATGATAATAGATATTATGTGAATAATGTAGGTGAAAGATGGACTGCCTTGCACGAAATATTTTTCGTAAATAAAAGGGAGTATGTTGAGATATTTTTATCGAAATGTAACGAGGAATATAAGAGAATCTTCCAGGATATTCTTTTTGACTTCGATGCTTTGCGTGTTGCAATTTGTAATAGTAAAACTGCCATTTTGAAGTTGTTATCAGACTTTTTTAAAAATACATTCAAAAATGAAACCATCATAAAACTATTCAATTACTCGTATCTCGAATCTCTTTATTATTATTTTGACGACGATGATTGTTATAAGCGGGTTCGATATTTTTTTAAAGAAATTGGAATCAAAGAACTCGAAGATAAATTGAAATCATTTCAGACATCAAGTGAATCTGATACACTAGCAAGTGACATATGTGAATCTGATTCATCACCATCATATGAATCTGATTCATCACCATCATATGAATCTGATTTATCAGAATAATCGTAATCGATGATATTGCGGTCCTATGATTTTACCAAGTATAAGCTCTGAAAACAAAATGATAGAAATTTATGAATTGAATGAACATATATTAATAACACCCCTTCGCAATTCAATGAATTCACAATTGTCAATTTATTTTTGTTCATAAATTTCACTTTAAATACATTGTCAAAAAAATACAAGATAATATATTTTGGTCAAGCCCATGTTCACATATAGAATATAGTAAATGTACACAAAAACTGTTCTATCCATTTATGCTAGCACGTTATCTATTCCAAACAATTTTCATTTTTTAATTATCAATTTATTGAATACAATTGCTTTGAATTTTATATGGATTTTTGGTTTAAATAAATAGTTTCGTATTGCATGTGTATGATTTGTTGTTTGATTTGTGCGTTTAGCACACATTTATGTAGGAATGCAGCGAAGGTGAAAAAGATTTAGCTATTGTTAGAAAAATGCATGTTTCATTCTTTCTCTCATAGATGTGGTAAGTTTCTAAGTACTGTGGTGTTTGTCATTAAATGTGATTAATTTTACAAATGTTACAAATTGATTGCTAAACACATCGCGATGTGACGTGAAATCTCCTGAGCAATTTGTGTTTATTTCTGTCTATAAATTTGCTACACTGAAGGCTCCTTGTAAGTCATAAGTTTGTATAAAAAATAGTGTTCTTTTATTGTTTTACCTTTCGACGTCAGAAGTTGAATCTCACGCGTCACATACAATTACACATTTTAAAGCAAAGAGGTACAGGTTGGTGTCAGTGAACAAAGCTAAATTCTTCTCTCGAATGATTTCATGTGGACGTTTTTTCATGCTTTTTAGTTTATTATGAACGAATGGGCTTCCTTTTTCTCTCTTTCGCCGGACAAATTTCCATACAAAAGATATACGAATGTCGGACTATGGGATTTTCTTCTGCGAAAATAAAATCTTATAAATAAATATAAATCAAAGTCAATAAACGTAATTAAAGCATTTATGTGTATACGAATAATACTATGATTATAATATGATATAAATTGCCAGCAAATTTTGTGATGGATGACTTTGTATGCGCGGTTTGAATTTGTGCGCACTCAATTTTTAATTGGATATGAGGAAAGAAAATCGAGGTGGCTTTGACTTGATGGAAACATTTTTGATTTTTTCGAACAAAATTCATCGTCGCCACCGTAAACATCTATTAGGTAATATTGTTGCCATTATTGGCACCAAAACCAATTGATGTTGCTCAAGGTACAGTTATAATTCAGCAACAACATATTCAACTCAACAGCCGTAGATCGCAAGTGGTGAGAGCAACGCAATTCAAATTGGTTTTTGAAATACAATAAGAAAACATTCAAAATCCTAGGGGGGAAACACGGGCTTTAGTATTGCTAATTTTTCTTAGTTTTTTTTTCAGTAAATCGCATATAACGTGTACATTGACAGAACCTAATAGGTCCTAATTTTTCTTAGTTATTTTAGTTTTCTAGTTTGTGTCTACCCCCTAGTCAAAATTCACAAACAGTTTTAAGCTGTCTGCAATACAGAAAATGAATTGTACTGGTAGATAGTTTAGATTTAAAGCGTTTCAAAAAAAATTTATCTGCCAACAGTTCGACTGGCCAATAAAAGTCACGTGTCATGGATCGTCTACAAAAAAAGCAAAAGTTATCCCACCCAGTCGGTCGAGATGGTAGTGAAGATGCTGGCGCTGGTCCATTAAATGTGGAATCATCACCAAAAATATTCAAGTTGAGAATTAATCTCAAAGCAAAGCATGACGATAAGGCAAAATTGCTTGCCAGCGCCACCAAATGACTCCATATGATTCTATATAGTTCTGCGGTTGCCAGCGGTACTAATCTCTAATAGAGCGTTGCCGAGCTGTCATTATCGTCGTGCTTTGTCTCAAAGAATTAATCATTTTAGCTGGATCGAATGCTGAGGAGGCTCTGTACTTCATTAGTCTCACTTAAAGGTCTCGAGCTGCTGTACATTTAGATATTCGAGAACAGTTCTATTTCAGCTAAATTGATCAATCTGAGAGAATTGAAGATGTCTTCTTGGCTGACAAGAATTGAAATGATGATGACAAGAATTGAATGAAGATTGTGAATGGTGATTTTTACCATTTGATGTTGCAACACTGTGAAAACTTAAAGAAGTTTTGTTTTCTTGGGTCTATGACTCCATGACCGAATCTACATTGACATTTATAATCTAGACATAGATTTAAGCATGTTTTTGATTTCGCTCAAAGGGATTGAGTCACTATGCATTTGGGACTTTGAAAACAAATTGCGGAAAATCTGGAAAGTGTACTGAAATCTACTGATTTCTTGAAATGCAATCGAAAGATATTGGGCAGCATTCTTGAATTGGTGTCAACAATGCCCAATCAGTGGAGCCCATTGTTGAAGCGTGCATGGCATGGGCCAAAACCGAATTGCTTGTCGGAGAAATGTCTTGTGTTTATGAATCAATGAGGTTCCAACTCAAAGATTCAAATACCATCGAAAGTCGAAATGACTGTAGAAAGGTGTTCTGAACAATTAAATATATGCGGTCGATATGGGACGATGATGCTCTGGCATCGAATGATATTTCGAATAAAATTTGCTCTAGCAAATCGAAACTATCATCCATTCGTCAGTGCTTTTTTTATCGCTACGATATTTTTTCAAAAATGTTTCCATAAATCGAATTGAAAACTTAATTTTCCAATCTGTAGCTGCCCTTTAAATCGAAATCGTGATCATCAATCACGCTCAACTTAAAATATATGAAACAAAAATATTGAAATTGCGTTTTCAGGCATTTCAAACATAAAACTGTGAAATAACCGAAAAGTTAAACTTAAATCGTATACAAAAATAAGGTGTGTGTTAACATTAAATTATGGAAATTTGTTGCGACTAGTCATTGTTTATGTGTGTGTGTGTGTGTGTGTGGTTCGCCTAAACAATTGTTATAAAACATAATTACATGGATTGATATAATCGTATTATAATTAACTTAATTAAATTAGCTGCCAAATCACAATCACAATAGACACACACACTCATTTGGGCAGCATCAGCACCCAAATATTTATGAAACTCTGTTATTTTCATTTGTCACTATAATGATTTTTTTTTTTGCTTATTAAACTAATGCACAAAAGATGCAAATGATATATATAGTACTTTGTTTGTTCTTTTGTTTCAGGTTTCAATTCAAAGAAAAACAAAATGTTGACTTGATTATTACGTCTTTCACTACTATCGTAAACAACACATTTTGGATCACACAAAATATATATAGAAATCTCGACAAAATTGTCGTCGGGGATAAAGTGAAGAATACTATGTCTCTGTCTGTGTTGCAAATCGTCGTGGAACACATGCGGTTAAGTAACAAACGTCACATATAACGCACACAGTGAAACACTGAATTAAATCGAAAGAGCCTCTAGATGGGCACTGTTATTTTGATTTGTCGTCGACGTTTGATTGGTGTTGGCAAACTGCAGAAATATGTCTTCTAATGATGTTTCATTCACCGTTATATCCGTCACAAATTGCTTGTACTGCTTTTGCAACGCTTGGATCTTGGCAAACACCTCGGACCAATGCAACGACTTCTCTTTTACGATGAATGTTAAACGACCCTGTGAAGAGAGATGGAGATTAATTTTCGTTCTAATTTGGAAATTGGCAAGATCTGATATGTGGATGGCTTTGTGAGACGGAGAGACTGTCGAGTTTGGATCTTTGACCCGATCCGTAGGTATCTTGTAGTTAAGATGTAGGGTCTTTGGAGCTACCTAGTTTCGATTCAGAAACTCCTAATAACTGTCTCCTGTCATTCGCTCCAAAAAAACCACCACATTCCATTAAAATCCAAAAAAAAAACTGACTCACCGCATATTCTTCTTGTAATTTACATTGGATAAACATTTGACTCATCGATTCTTTTACTTTGATTATGTTCTCACTATTGTCGATCGAAGCACGTTCATTGTACACGATGTGAATGACGAAACCCAGTCCAAATGAATTTTTCAGATTTTGAATTGGTCCAATGCATCGAATTGTTCCGTCGACCATGATTGCAAGGCGATTGCAAAGGTATTCACATTCGTCCATACTAGAAAATTTAATTTTTTTCGATTAAACCAAAAAATTTGAAGAATTTTCCAGGAAAGAATATGCGTTAATTGAAAAAGTCATCAAACCTGTGTGAAGTTAGCACAATATTTTTATTACTCTTTTGACAATCTTGTATGCAATTCCACATGAATCGTCGGCTCACTGGATCAACTCCAGTTGTCGGTTCGTCTAGCAATATCAGCTGCGGAACAGCAATCTGAGAGAAAAATTGAATTTCGTTAGGAAAATATACTATTAGAATGACAGTAAGAAGAAAAGGCAATTACCATTGCAATGGCAGTGTTCAGTTTTCGTTTCGTTCCACCGGAATAGTATTTGATTTGACAGTGTCTGTATCGCACCAAATCCATTCGTCTCAGCCATTTATCCACTTCACGGTTGATACGATGCCGTGGGGTGCCACGGATCCAAGCCATATACTTCAATATCTCATAAGCTGTCATGTATGAATTCAATGCATCCACTTGGGGACAGTAGCCGAACATCGTTTTGTACTAGAAATATCGATTTTTATTTAGATCTCGATTTTAGTTTTTATTTTCTTTGAAGATTTGAAATCAGAGAAATTGATGTGTAAAAATTTATATATGAGTACGAAAAAAATTACTTACAATAGTTGATTGATCAAAGCAACTCATGCCATTGATATAAATATTGCCGTGTGTCACCGTTGTGTCATGTGTCAACATTTTGAATGTCGTCGTTTTGCCAGCTCCATTGATACCGAGCAACCCAAAGCATTCACCTGTCAATAGAGAAAAGTCACAATAATTAAATAAAAATTGGAGAAAATGCCATACGATAAAATATTAATTTATTTCATTATTTAAAAAAAAAAAAATTAAAAAAAGGTGAACAAACCTTGTTTAACGGCAAAATCAATGCCGCGTACCACATTTGAATCGTCATACGCTTTGTATAAATTAGCCACAATGACTGCGTATTCTTTGAGTTTATGTTCACGAACTAAAGTTCTCGTCAGTGACTTTTCCTCTTCGACCTGCGAATCACTGTTCGATGAGCAACAGTTCATTTGAATATCGCCCGATTTTGAGCGTTGCTCATCGATTCGCTTCTTTTGTCGCCATCTTAAAGTGAAGAAACAACGCAATTTTTCACGTCGATAAATACTCTCCACAACGTTGATCAATATCAACTGAAAAAAATAGTGGAACAATTAGATTTAAAATTTGAAAACCGAGAGAATTAATTAAAACTTTAAAGAAAAAATGAATGAAAAAAATAAAATTGATAGAAATCTAAAATTGAATTTAAAATCGATTTTAAGCAGAAATGGAAAAAATAGACGATAAAAAAATGACAGAAATTTCCCAAAAATTACAAAAGAAATCGGAAAAAATGCCACAACTTTTTTTGAAAATAAATAATTTTTCAAAAAGTAAAACGAATAAAATAAATGGAGAAAAAGGGCTTACATAAGTAGCAGCAATAACAGCAGCTGTGCAGTAAAAGTATCTGGTTAAATCAAGTGGTCCGGGTATGCTGGTGTATGAAAATGTTTCCGGAATAAATTTAGCGGTTGGTGAATATTGGTGATCTGTTGAAAAAATAAACCATTATGATTAAATATCGATATGTTCAATTTTTTCGCAGCCAAAAGGTAAATGGGTTTCATCAAAATCATATGGTGAATTGTTGTATTTACACTTTGAAAAATTAAAAATTATCTAATAAATATGAAAAAGGTAAAAAACTTTTTTTTTGTTTAAATCTGAGTATTGATGTCAAACTTACCAAAATTATAGTTAATTCGAGCTTCATGTTGCTTCACATAAGAAATAAGCAAGGAACTAATGGCGTGCGATAAAGCGTAGTCAGGTACAAATAATAAAACGTTAATCAGTGTATTGTAAGTTTTTATATTGTCCTCCGATGATGAAATGAACGACGCGATTATATCTGCAACAAAGATACATTTATTAATTTTTTTTCGATGAGGTATATTGAATCGAGTCAGTAACTATGTAATTGACATCTATCAACAACTGTTATCTGTCAATAGAAGCGTAGGTCATTCAAAGAATTTCTAAGCCACTGTGGTCTCAATTGAGAATTTTAAGGAAAGTCCGATAAAAGTGCGAGTAGAGTCAATTATTTCAAGCTACCTTAATCAGTGTTTTAAACATAAGATGGCATCGAACCAAGCTTATCCGCTTAAGGATAATATCCCGGCTTCAATTGCAACAGAGTATCCTGATTTGCTGCTGCTCAGCATATTACTGAGAGCTGAGAAATGCTGAGCTCGTGCGGCTAACGCATATGAAACGGATGCACGATACATATTCCCCTTTCGCTTCGTATGTGCTGCCGTTGACGCTATTGCCAGTACAACGGTAACACACTATACCAGCGAACATACGAAGTGAAAGGGGAATATGTATCGTGCATCCGTTTCGTATGCGTTAGACGTACACTTTCAGAATATATGAAAGACTGAGAGCAAAAACAGCACGTCGCATCTCATCTCTTGCTTTCACTTACGTAAGCAAAATAACGAGGGATGCGACGTGATGTTTTTCTCGCAGCTTCTCATATGTCGGTCGCAACACAATTTCAAACTCAACTGGTTACTAAGTTTTGAGTTTTGAATTGAACGTCCAATCAACTGTTTATAACCGTTTAAACGGGGAGAATGCATGTGTGCGTGCCATCCGTTTCATATGCGTTAGCCGCACGAGTTCAGAATTTCTCAGCTCTCAGCTATATGCTGAGCAGCAGCAAATCAAGATGCTCTGAATTGCAACAAATCAATCTCGTTATTTTCATCAATGCCATCGAATAGACTGGGTCTACAGATACAGCACGCTATTTTTGCAGCTCACATTTACGAACATTTCGTTTGGGGATGTATTCTAAGATCGCTGTTGTACATAAATGGCACCTTTGGAGCTGCAAAAAAGCCCTGCTGTCCCATATAGAATGTGGACGTAGTTGGCGTTGATTTGACGTTCAGCTACGTTCAAAGTCTGTGTCTATACGTTCTGCACATACATACACTAACACGCAGAGGCGGTCGATTACGTCCACGTTCCATATGGGGTATCTGTAGACTCTACACTGATCAATGGAATTTAAATCATCGAAAATGATTTTAAAAAAAATGACGTCTGTCGCGACAAAAATAGTGGTGACTCCACCGTCGCGTCATTATTTTCAATATTTTTTTGAAAATTTAAATTAATTTTATGAAAATACGATATCCGATTTGATATCGATTAAAAAAAAAATCTTTAAATTAAGACCACAGGCAGTACTAATGGTTCAACTCTCTCCTTCCTCTTTTTTTTTTCAATTTAAAAAAAAAATCCACAACCACTGAAAAAAATTGCGAAAAACTTACAGAAAATCACAAACATATATGTTAAGAACGAGTACAATGACGACATGGTGCGGAACATCTGGCTGACCATATAAATGATCGGTAGATAGCTGAGACCATACAGCATATAAATAGACAGGAACATCACTGTTTAAAAAAATCGAAATTAGTTTCAAGATTCGATCGTGTTCGTCGTCTGCGTTCAAAATGAATTTACCGTGTTCCTTTGTTTCAAAAATATGATGTACATCGCACCAAATGTGAATGGTGCACATAAAATATGCGTATAATGCATGAATCATTGCATCAAATAAAAATACTGACGTCCAATAAATGAACGGTGAAATGGGCTGCATCTTCTTGAATTCGGTGCGTTCTTCATTGAATGGCATCGAAACATAGAATAAAATGTAGAAGAACATTGCCATCGGCATGAACATGGCATACACGTCCAAATCGGATTTGCTGATTTTTGTTTGATTTCTGTGGAGACGGAGTAAAATCAGTTTATGTTTTCAGTGGGAATCAGAGAAAGATCGAAAAATCTTACCGATGCATTGGTGCATTTGTTGTTTTAATTCGATTGTCACCGTTGGTAAGTAGTTGCAATTCAAAATTGCTGATAAGATTCAGCGTCGCCGCCAAACTGTGCAATGAATTTCCCGAGAATAATACACTAATGCCAATACCTTTGGTAGTCTCGTCTCGATAGATAACCAAAGCGGCCGGAAAATATTCATGATAATGGGTTGTATTCGCACGTTCCAAGTACAATAGTTCTGAAAATGGAAATTTGATTAGAGAAATCACCGATTTCAGCGAAAATTTCGATTAGTTTACCTGTTTCAATTAATTCCCTGGGATACGTTAGATATTTTGATTTCAAATTTTCACCGTCAATCACTTTTTGCAGCGATTGCTGGAAATACGTTTGATCTTTTAAGGATTCATCAAACCAGATTAGAATTTGAGCATCACTTGGTGTGATGCGATCAATGTGCAGATCGATGAGCTCGGATGCAGTGTCACCTTTGTTGAAGAGTTTATAGTTGATCGACAGGAAACTGATGGCTATAGCCGCGATCGGGAATGATGACTGCAGGGACAGAAAGGGAATTAGTTTTTTGGTTTTTTTTTATTAAGATATAGGTGTATCTTTTTCAAGGTGTTTAATGTCTCAAAATTTGAAAAAAACGCTCAAAGTTACTTTAACAGAAAACATTATTTCCATTAAAAATCAAAATTATTGTCTCATCACTCACCAACATCAACCAATACAGCCACTGTGCGCGCATAAAAATGCCCTTTTTATACCAAATGGCTAAAAATTGTTCGAATCCACTGACTCGCAGTGGTTCTTCGCGCAGTCGGTTGTACGGTGGTCCATCGACTTCATCTTGTCCCTCTTTTGGTCGGCTGGCATAATTGCTGTCACTCTTCAAGAACACGTCTTCCAACGATGAATTTGTGATGCTAATCGATGAAATGCCCAATTCTTGTTGTTTTTGCTCCAATTGCGATAGTAGTTCCGGAAATGTTGATTGGAATTTGTATGGTAATGCGATCAATAATGTGGGTTTGACAAACGACTTCAATGCCATATCCGGCACAAATTTCTGAATTAATTCAATCGTATCGACTTGTTTGAACGGTTCGCTTGTTAGTAATTTCAAAATGTAACCCGTTTCAAATCGACGCTTCAATTGAATCGACGGACCATAGCATAACAACTGTCCATGTGATATGATTGCAATCTTATCAGCCAATGCTTCAGCCTCTTCCATGTAATGAGTCGTTATGAAAATCGTATGATCTTTTCGCATGTCCAATAAAATGTTCCACAATTCACGACGCGACTCTGGATCCAAACCAGACGATGGCTCATCCAAAATGGCGATTCTGCAGAGAATTTTTGGATAATTAGTACATTGAAATTTGATACACCAAAAAAAGGTTCGGCGATTACAAAAATATGCCTTCTTTGAGATTACATGACACAAAAGGATAATGTTTTAAATTTTTTTAAAACGAAGGGCCGGTCTGTGTTTGCTTTGAATTTTTCCAAACTTACTTTGTATTTCCGATCAATGCAATGCCCAAACATAGACGCCGTTTCATTCCGCCCGATAAATTGTGTCCGTACTCATATGCCTTTGAAGTCAGATTGAGCTTCTTCAACAGGTGATTGGCATCGTATACAACTTGTTTTGTGGTAAGTCCGCGTAGCTAAAATGAAACGTATTCATTGAGAATTGAATTTTTTTTCTCTTGAAAACTTTTTCCGCCTTAATTTTCTTTTCTATTCACTTACCCGTCCAAAGAACCACAAATGGTCATAGCATGTGAAGTAGCTCATGTAAACATTATGCTGTGGACAGTATCCGATTTTGTGTCGATAAACATCAACATTTTCTTCACCATCAATGCTAATTGTACCGCCAGATTTCGGAATGATGCCGCTGATCATCGACATTGTTGTCGTTTTCCCAGCGCCATTATGACCCAGCAAGACAGTGATTTGATTTTTCAAAATATCCAATGACAAATTATTTACGGCGACATTTTTACGACCACGGAATTTTTTGAATATTTTTGTTAAGCCACGAATTTTAACCGCTATCTCGGCTTGGGTATCAACACTAATCACGGTATCTGTATTATCACCCGTCGCCGATGAAGTTACTTTTGAACTACTACAGTAGTAAGACGGCATTAATGGAAAATAAAACGGTTTTGGTGTACCACATCTACCAGGGAACACATGCGATAAGTAGAAATACAATAGAATGTAGCCAAATGTATGTGCCAACAGGAATCCATACAGTTCAAGCATCGAATATCCATTTGATCGATTCAACAGGTATTCGAACGAAAAGACCAAGCCTGTGAAAGAGACGGAAAAATTAAATTTTGATCAAATCAATTTAGATTTATTTTTTTAATTTGTGACTTTTGCAATTTTTTAATTTCGATTTTTTTTATTTTTGGATTTTTTCAAGGCTAATGTTAAAAAAAAACAACAATTTTTTTACTTTCTTCTTATTTTACTTTTCCGCACACTTTTCTAGTGTGGGAACAATTTTTTTTTTCAAAAAAAAAAGTAAAAATTGAAAAAAAATATTTTAGCCACAGAAAAAAAATTAAATAAAAAAAATTTTTTTTTTTAAAAATTCACGAATTTTTTGTGCATTTTTTAGAAATTTCCATACATTTTTAACTATTTTTTTCCAAAAAAATAATTGAAAGCAAATTAATCAATCAAAAATAATTGACAGAAAACAAAAAAATCACAATTTCATACTGACGTCGAAATTCCCATACACACACCTTTCATGCCATAAATATCGATCAAGGTCATGCCCTTGAGTAGAACGGCTGAATTCAAAACGGGCAAAATCAGGTCCAACATTTTCTCATTGAATAATACAATCAAAAATGGCGCAATATAGCAGAGAAATCCTCCAATTTTTGCATAGTAAACTGTTGATATAAAAAACAATCTTATTAATGACGTCTATATTTGAAATGTAATCATAACTGCGATATGGGTAAAACCCAAAAATGTTTCTTACCAGAATCAAAAGCGACGGTTAATAGAAATGTGAATGCAATGGCGGATGTCAAATATAAGAAGAGTAAGATAATAAGCCAGATTGACGCAACATGTCCGAGTAGCTGATAACAAGCTAAAATTATCAATGTTGCTCCGAATATTATACAACCGATCAGTAGATTTGTAAAGAAAAAAGTCATATTATTTAAATAACTGTCGGTCGATGCAATTCGCAGAAATTCCTTGACACCACATCCTTTCTCTTCGACCATCGGAACTAAAATCATATTCAACAGCGCTGTAAAACTGTATATGATCACAACAAAGATTCCTGTCTCCTTAATTCCGATAAATTTATTACGCTCACGAGCATTCAAAGGCAGTTTTTTGACCTCCAACTGTGAAACATTTTGATTTTTGAGTGAAATTGGAAAAAAATCAAAAATATCCATCAATTATCTACCTTAAATTCATCGTGATGCTGTTCAGCCGTCAAATCAATATACGCCTTATCAATGCTGCGCTGTAATGCCAAAAATCCACTGTTGATGTACTCGTCAATGCCTGGAAATAGTTGTAAAAAATATCTTTGTTCAATTTTCTCCGAAAAAAAACGTTTCAAAATATTCATTGAATCAATAAAAACACCGTTCCAAATACTAAAAATACAATTGATCGCCCACCTCTTTCACCAATCGTATAGATATTGTTCAAGAATATTTGTTCGGTACGAAAGTTGTTGTTTCGCGTTCGAATGGTGTAGTTAAGTAGTCCGTTGCTTCCATCTTGTGAGAAAATTACAGCAAAATCTCGATTATTTTTGTGCCGCTTAAAGGAAGACTGTAGCTCTTCTTCAGTGTCAGACGGGTGGACTCCTATCGAAAAAGAAATGAATTACATTCCGTTACCCACACAAAAACAGTACCAAAGATATTTATATTACGAATATTTGCATAATGTTACGAAAACAACAGTCAGTTTCAACAAAACTGAGCAAATTCCATTGTAATCGAATAAATATCAACCGATATATAAATATATATTGTCAGCAATGCTGATTCACCGCATGCATTGTGACATATTAAGTCGAAAGACGGCCTCTTAATAAAGAATATCATGAATACTTGGGACTTTGCCTCACGTAAAAATATTTGTCGGCATTTTTTCAGTTCTGGAGCCGACGCCATGAAAAATAACTGAATCGAATTTACTGTCGGAATGTCATGTATGTAGCTTTTTTAGCAATTTAACATGCTTAATTCGGGTATTATGCAAATCTCAAATATGAATTGTCGAACAAATCGATTTTACGTACCGTTTATGCTTCAAAATTAATTAGACTGTATTTGTACAATAGAATAATATTGAAACGTTCATTCCATATTAAATGTCAAAATCGTCGTCTTGATGGGCGTAAAAAAAGCAATTGCGAAAGATTTGATCTAAAAGTAGAAGATGTCTGAAGATTTGTGTTGATTGAATAAATTGGGCAAAGAAACAGGAGCAAAAAAATATAGAAGTGAAGCATTCGGAAATAAATCAATGATTGCCAGAGAGATTGAAAAAAACAAAAATTGACGTAGTGCAAGATCTACATCATTTTCTGCATCTCGCTTCTGAATGTAAGATTTCCATATTTTCAGCGGTTACCTGAAAAGACGTCGTAATTCCATTGATTAAATTGAATTCAAAAACGTTGACATCATCGATTTGCATAGAATTTTAGCTCACTCGGTATAATCCAATTATATAGCTATTCAATCAATGTACGATATACACACGACATATAAAACACGAACAAATTACGTGCAGTAACGTGAGTGGAGAAAATGCAACGAAACAATGATTGTATTTAAAAGCGGCCACGTCATAAATTCATGAAAATTCGTTTAAATTGTAAGTAACAAAGGTTGACTGAAATTGGGGTTGATTGACATTCAAGGTGATGACCCTTTTGTTATGCGTTGATTCGTGTCAATAATATACTAACTTTGTTCGATGATATCCAGTCGCGTCCGTACATTTTCCATGATACGAAATGTCCATGATGTGTTTGGTGAATACAAAATCAGGTCGTCATTGTTCGCCGGAAAATATCGGAAAATTTCATCCTGAAATTTAAAGAAAAAAACAAATGAGTATGAATTAAATGAGTAATTTCAAAAAATTCAATATAAATACAAGCCAAAAGCGGTTGCTTATCGTTTCAATTTGGTTTTTATCGTTTCTGTGATAAAATTTCAAAAATAGTATAACCAATGTACACAATGCACCGATAACACACGCTTGTTGTGGCTCTTTCAAATTGATTAATTTTTTTAAAGCAACAAAAGCGCATAAATAATTTAAACGTTGTTATTCACATGAAAATCAATATTTATTCAAGTGATTGCTTCGGGTTACTTCATAATTTCAATAGAATTTGTATTTACACCTGTTTGCGTTGAATTATTTCTTCATAGATGTGTATGACTTCATTTTTTAAACAATTCCCGTCATTCTTGGGATGTTACCTTGTGAAGAGCGAACCGTATCGATTGGTTGAGATGAAACCAATTATAATAAAATGTCTTACATCCGTAAGATGAACTTTTCCGCACTGTGATCCACAACATGCATTTATTACAAATCTTTTACTCAAAGAATTCACGAGAAAACTGAATCTGACATTAGTTTTACGATACAAATAATTTTCGAAGTACTTTTCATACAAAAACTACTAAAAATGAGAATTTTTGTATCGCAGTTATACCTATATGATATCGTAATCATGTGAAAATTTGCAGAGGTTATTTTTTCACAAAAAGTCAACATTCTGAAAGTTTGAAGAAATTTCAACGCATATTAAGGGTACTTCCCATACAAAATTTTGTTTTTGAGCGAAAAATCCAAAATTTTGTTCGGAAGGTACCCCTATTATGCGTTGAAATGTCTTTAAACTTTTGGAATGGAATTTTTGTCTGATAAAAATAACCTGTGCAAAGTTTCAGCTCATTACGATATCATACAGGCATGGCTTCCATACAAAAATCCAATTTTTTTGAAATTTTTGTATGAAAAGTGTGTCGAAATATATTTGTATCGCAAAACTAGCGTCATATTCGGTTTTCTCGTACCCAAAATTTTTTGAGTGTTTAAGAATACATTAAATATCACTTTTGGAAGAAAAATTGAATTTTTCCCATGGATGGACATGGGCATCACACCAGAGATGACACTTCACTGTATCAACCAAAGTCGCTCAAAATCTAATGGTTTCTATTCCTCGGTACCCCCAATCATCCTGTGAAGTCAGATTTTGAATTACTTTTCTTGTTTGAAATTTATCGTGTTAACAAATTTTTGCGTACAGCGTACAGCGTACAGGGTACCACGCACATACATTCGGACATCGAAAAAACGCTAGATTCGTGTTTCCTGGCTCCTAAAACACCCAGAAAACATGTTTTTTGAGGATGTCAATTTTTCGACCGATTCCAATACTTTACCTTACACACTAGGTGTGTGCGGAAAAGTAATATGAGAGCGCATCCCAATGGAGATGTGAAAAGTGGTTAAATTTAGAACGGGGACATCCCGTTTTCTAATCGCATTAGAGTGAAACTAGCACACAACCGCCGGAAACTATTATGCTCACATCACAAAAGGCTCTATCCTTGTCTCTCCATCTTGCTCATGTGTATGTGTGTTGCATGGACAACTATCAACTCTGATGTGGCATTCATCGTACAAAAATATACAGAAACACCATTGTCCATGCACCTCCATCACTTTCTCCAATTGACGTGCAACGTTGATTTTTTTTTATTTAATAGGTTACAATTGCAATTTTTTGCAGTTCTACTCAATTTATATTTAGATTAAATTTCATTCCACATAAGCTTCCGACACTGCGGTGTATATGTATTCAACAGTTTTTTTGCTGCAAAGCTATTGTTTTTGTCTTTTTCTCGGGAACTTGTTGCCATTTGACTGACACACTTTTCTACGCTAACGAATAACGTCATCCATTCAACGCTTCAATGACTCTCGTGGACACTTCATAAAACCATTCTTTTGAAAACAAAATTGACGTTGACACACATTCAAGTGGATTGAAACTAAACATATCTCCACATGTCTAATGCATCATTTTATTTGGAATTAGGCTAAAATTGACAAATGATTGAAAACACTTGAAAAAAAAACAGAAGTTGAATCGTGCATAAGGGCGACATTTGGAGCACATACGTCTGGAGTGTGTGCTATTTTGAAGACACATTAATTACACTTTATTATATTGAATTCTGGACCAGATTTTATGAAGAATTCAATTTTTATATGTTTTGTCAAATCTATAGCGAAGCTCTTCATAATTTCATATTTTTAGTCATTTTTATTGCATATATGTGTAAAACATCCAAAAAGTATGTATGAAATATGAAATTTAACATAAAAGAATCTATTTTTAATATGGGATTTCCATGGCGCCTCGTTATATGGAAGTACACTTCATTTTATGGATGTTTCATGTAAGTACCAGATTTTTGAAAGAATTTAATTTATATTCCAGTTTTAACACATGGCATTTTTAATGCATTCAAGGAAAATTCTCCTATATTTTCGTATTTTCAGTGCGAGTGTTTTTTTTATCAACAATTGTATAAAACTGATTGAGGAACGATTCAATATTCGATTGGAAAAATAAAAAAAGAAATTGGATAAGCGCCATACGATTTTTTTCAGCTCAACACAATTCTGCGGACGAAAATCAAAGTAGTCTATTTTATCGATATTTTTTGGGAGAAATGGAACCAAATAATTGTTTGAAGATTTTTTTCATGATTGATGCATCTTCATGAAGAAACGCTACTTTATTCATTGGCCCGGCTCCAATCTCTTTATTGGGCCGGCTACCACTGAGCTTATATATTTAAATTATTATTTCCGTTTTTTAGTTCAAAGAAAATCAGTTATATCTGGTTCTTTGTCGCATGGCAGAAATTTTGAATAGCAAAAAAAAATTATCATGTCATACTTTCACTCGAAATAAGACAGAGTCTCTTTTGTGTTGACACAGTGACATCAGAGATTTATACTTTCCATCACTTAGTTTTCACTATTTGCCGACTAAAAATGTAGAAGCCGTAGAAGAGAGCTGTATTCAATATTATTGAAGAGAGCTCAAATTGTCGCTATATCATAGTGATTTATGTCATTTAAACATTATTTAAAACTCATGCGGTCTTTGAATAATACATAATTCTATATTAAGCGAATAAATCGAGCAATAGCTTGCAATATGAATCATAATTTTCGGCGTATTTCTTGACCTTAATGACAGTTGTTTGGTAAACAATGTTTATTGAATTTACTGTGTATAGTCATATACTATTTACATTAGAAAGAGTGCGATGAAGAGCATTTTATCTTGAGTAAACATAATAAACGATAAACGTCATCAAAATACGAAGATAATGCCAACCGATTCAAAACCCGCTTGTAACAAACTATATTTATTTTGCTTCATTTCATATTTAACTCATAAAAGGAATGCAAAAATGCAAGCTTCTCTTTGTGTGGGTTTCTTTTATTCGCCGCATTACTCTTTACTTTATTCTTTTCGTTGTCATTCCTTATTTACTCTGTTTTTATTCACTTCATTTTTATTTACACATCTGTTTTCTATTCAACACTAACCGTCCAACCTTTCTACTCGGTTCAATTTCAGTGGAGAAATGTCAATGAATGGAGTTTAAACTCGGTTGTTAAAATTGCAAACATAAAAGTACATACCTCTGGGATTGAATCAAAGATGATTTCTTTGCCTTTGACAGTGGCACTGCTGACATGAATTTGAAACCATGCAATCGCAATCGGCACAATAATCATAAAAATATTTTTAACCCATGAACATTGAAAGCACTTCCAGTGTTTCCATAAAAAAATCTGCACCGTCGTTATAAATGTGTTGCTCATTTTGTTTTGAATTTTTTTCGCTGTACACAATATTTTATATACATTCGATTCATTCGAGGAAAAGAACCAAACAACAACAATAACAAAAAAAACACTGTATCACCCAACAAAAGATGGTGTGTCTTTTCTCTTTGTGTAATTTGTCTTCTGTCTTGGCTTATATGGTCGACATTTATTTTAATAAACAAAGTGTTGCTTGTACATATTTTATTTATTTAAATTCCAATTGGATTGTACAACGTCGTACCAATGACATTTCAATCATGTTTTCACACCACACAACCAAAAAAATAGTACTGAAATGCCCCTTTTTCGAGTTCTTTTTTTAAAATTCTTCTATATGCACAACTTTCATTGCAACAACAACAAACTTGATAAACAAAACAAATTCACGCGAATTTTTTTTGGGTATTTATTTAGAGAATGAATTAATTTTTTTTTACTCTATGTAAAGCCAACTCAACTCGGTGAAAGTCTATAATGACTGAAACATTTATTGTTATGGCTGCTGCTACCTACTACCATGGGAGTTGCCATTGTCTGTGTAGTGTATGGCGTTATTGTTTGGTGTATGCGCGTACGTTGCGATACGTTTCGTTTGACATTTCATTCGCATAGACATACTTTCATACTGACAGCTGCTGTCAACCCAAATGTCAAATGAAACGTTGCTGTTAAATGAAATTACATTTATGTTTTGGTTAATAATATTAAAATGCATCGAGTTTCGAAAATTTTTCATCCAGCCGATTCAATGCTGCAAAAAACCAAGAACACCTTTGGATCCAAAAATCAAAGCGTAAATTTTTATATTTTTCAGTTGAATATTTATCAATTAATGTCGTTGATATTTTTTTAGTTGCTGATTGACTATGGACTGATGAAACCACTGGACAAAGGCACCTATTACTATTTGCCGATATTACAACGATCGATCAATAAAACAAGCGCACTCATTAAACGATTTATGCACAAAATTGATGCACAAGAGATTACCATACCAAATTTAACAGCAACCGAATTTTGGAAAAAGTCAGGTTAGTGTCTGTCGGCATTTGGTGGTATTGTCGTTGTTCATGTGCCGGTATTTCATGATTTGTAGGACCCATTTCACGTGTTTGAAACAGTGAGAATCTACAACGGTATTATCGGGTACAAACACATTTTAATCACAAAAACATCGTGTTTTTTTTCAAATCGATAAAAAATCAATTTTTTATGATTTTTGCGGAATTTCTTTTTGTGTTGTGGAAATAATGCGAAAAATTTCAATCGATTTTTTTTCTCATATTATAATAATTTTATTTCTCACTTTAAAGAGTCTTTAATATGACAATTTGTGCCAAATTTATTGAAAGATTCTTTTAAATTTGAAATAGGACGATACGATGACTACCAATCCGAATTATTCCAACTGAAAGATAGAAACGACAAGATGTTACTTCTCGGACCGGTATGATTTATGAATGATTTTTAATTTCTCAATTCTTGCACCGGCGAGGTCCTGGAAAGCAGACCAGTAGTCGGCATCAGTAGACTATTTAATTGTTTAGTTTTATGTGATTTTTTGCACTCTCTATTTTAGACCTTTGAAGAAGTGATAACACATATGATGAAATTTGGTCAAAATATCGGTGAGAAACAAATGCCCATCCGATTGTATCAAGTGAGTTCTTTTTTTGTATTTAAATTGGCAACAAAAACTACGATTTAGAGGTCAAGCAAAATCGCCGCTATTGAACGGTTTTATGGGAATATTTGAGTATTGAAAAATTAATTTTGAACAAAGGTTCCTTGTGAATGTAGATGATAGGTATGTAGAGGAAAGCGTTTAATACTTGAGATATATTTTGAGTTAAATGTGAAAGTGAGATACGGATAGAGAGGTGTAAATAGATAAATAGAAAACCACAGAAAGAACGAGAGAAAGAGAGAGAGAAAGGAAGAGAGGGAAAGATCATGAGAGGGAGAAAGAGATACAAATAGAGATAAAGAGTTCGAAAACAAAAGAAACTGACTTAAATACATTTTCTGTAATTTTTCAATAGATCGGGAATAAATTTCGCGATGAGAATGCTCGGTACGGTCTGCTGCGTTGCCGTGAATTTCTTATGAAAGATCTCTACACGTTTGATATGGACAAAGAGAGTTCTACACAAACATACGAAGAAGTCAACGAAATTTACGATAAATTTTTTAAGTTTCTAGGAATACCATTTAAAAAAGGTATTATTTTCACCATTTTCTCTCTTTTACAAACTACGTTTATTTTTGTAACTATTTTTATCAATTTTCCTTTTTTTTCTAATTTAGAAAAATTATCGTAATCTTTGTCAAAAAATTTGTTTAATTATTCTTTGTAATTAGTTGAAGCCGATGCTCAACAAATGGGAGGTAATTTGTCGCATGAGTACCACTACTTGACACCAATTGGCGAGCAAAAACTGCAGGAGTGTTCAGTTTGTAATGAAACATCGGTGAACTCAACGGAGACCGGTGACTCAGAGTGTCCAAAGTGTAAATCGAATCGCGTGGAAAAATGTTCGGGGATTGAGGTGAGCGACCATCCAAATGGAGTGGAATCCAAATTTAGATTTTTAGTGAACAAAAAATGTATTTTATAAGGTCGGTCACACATTTCTTCTGGGCGATACGTACACAAAGCGACAAAAGGCGCATTATTTGAAAGGCAATAAACCCGTCCCAATGCAAATGGGATGCTATGGCATTGGAGTGACACGTTTAATAGGTGCTGCCATTGAAAAATTATCAACGGATTCACATTTACGGTGGCCATTTCCGATAGCACCATTCTCAGTTTGTATTGTGCCGCCGGAAAAACGGAGCAAAGCATTTAATGCGGCTAGTCATTATTTGGACGAAATACACAATCAATTGAATAGCATTCCAACGCTACATGATTCAATTTTAGTTGACGATCGGATTCGAGTTACAGTTGGCGATCGATTTCGAGACGCGAGAAGGTTAGAACTCATTCCATTTTACTACTTGCTTTTTAAATTAATTTTTTTTTTTTGACTTCCATTTTACACCAATAGATTAGGTATTCCGTTAGTAGTGATAATCGGAAAAAAAGCAAGCGAACCAGAAAATCCACAGTTTGAATTGCACTTCATCCAAGAGGAAAAGGAATGTTATCTATCGTTTAATGACCTTATCGCCGAGATCACCAAGTACACACAAGAAAAACTCAAAGAAGACTAATTTTCTTTAACCATTGTTGGGACATTTTTATTAGCTATATTAACTAGTCGAAATATTTTACATAAAAATTGTAAAATATATTAAAAGAAAAAAAAATACCTTTTGTACTATGTCTTCTTTGTTGTGACTAACCTCTTTAGAGCAAGAAGAAATTTCGCTCCAAATAACGAATGAATACATTAAACATGATTGATTTGATGGCAAGAGACGAGATCACCGAAAATCCCGAGTAAATTCGACCAAAACCGGATATAACTAGAATTAAAGGCACAAAATTCATCTTTAGTATGCGGAATTCTTTACGCTAGTATGTGTGACAGTTTTGTGGACACCTCGAAAATTTCAATTTTTTTTTTAATTGTTGTAATTTGAATAATTATTTATTTGCAATCATTGAATGAGGTACCACGCTTACCTGAATGTGCATTGATCAAGCTGCTGATAAAATAACCAAGAAACAGCATAAAATTGAGTTGAACCACGAAATCACTCTGTTGTGTCTTCCATATGACGATAGGTAGGAGAAAGAATTTCGCAACATTGGCCAAACACATTGCTTTGATCAATAACATCAGTGGATTTGCGGCTGACCAGAACAATAGCGACTTTCTAAGACTTAAGCTTAACAGTGCCATCAGCACTAAATTGTCTGGAATTTAAACATTTTTCGATTTTTTTATATGAACAAAACAAATATTGTGTACAAAAAAGTCAAAATCGATTGGCACGAGTATATGACCCTTGCCGTTTTTGTCCATCAAAAATGTTGACTCAAAATTCCGTACCAAAGGCAGTTAGTGTATATGATTAATTGGTCTTATGGTCTCAAATAATAACAATTTCATAAAAAAAAATACTTATCAGCACACAGTGATGTGTGCGGAAAAGCATCCAAAAAAAGATCTCACCGGTCACCGCTAGTCCGAAGCATAAATAAAAGAATTTCTCTTTGGTAAAGTGTTCATCGTTGACTTCAGAGGCTAAATAATGAAATTTATTCGACCATGAAATATATGCATCCAGCAGGCAGATGATTAAACTCAATTTCCAGTGGATCTAAAAAATTGAGGAAATTTCAATGAAAAATTAGAAAAAATGAGACAAAACACCGGATGATAAAAAGTTTTAAAAAAGAGAGAAAAAAAAATTATCAGAAAACTTAAAATTTCAAAACGGAAAAAAATTCGGAGAGAAAAAAATCGAAAATTGTGCAGAAGGCGAAAATTAAATAAACGGTAGGGATTGCTTGATTAAATAAAAATCATTGAAAACCGATACATACTCTAAAGTCAGTGTTATACAATACATGCCGGTAGGTAGGTCGTGACAACAGCACCAAGTCAATGACAATGACGATCGGTTCAAATTCAATATATTTGTCGGCGATTTGATGGCATTTTTCCTGCAAAACGTGTAAAATTGCAATCCAATATTTTTTTAAAAACGAAAATTCACCACTTTATTCCAATTATCTAATCACACTTACACAGTTGGCGATTTTCATAACATTTGCACTGTATTTTGTGTAAAGTTCATCGGTTGGGTGACCACAATTGATGCAAATAAATTTCTTTTCCAAAGCCACCATTTTTCAGCGAAAATCTCCTCTTTTTTCAGTGGCTATTTATAATTTTCGGTTCCTTTTTTTTCCTATATTGCATTTCAAATAATGTTTATTTACCCAATGACAATTGTAAGCGGATTGCATGTTGACATTGAGTGTCAATCATTGTGTGTTAGTTTGTCAAATGTCAGATTTGGCGCGTTGTGCCGTGTTCGAAGCTGGTTGTTCGAATTGCAAATTCGAATTTAAATGCAACTATGTACACCGGTTTTTGCACACTCCACACCAGAAGCGACTGACAACATTTAATTTTCTGTGATAATTAATCAATTGGCGACCAAATTAGTATTCATTTATAAGAAAAGTTTGATCATTGAAAAAGAAATTAGATCAACAAAATTGAACGATGGATAAAAAAACACCAATGCGTGTGTCAAGGTAAGAATGGTTTTAAAAGAAAATTTGTTCAAATTGAGTGTCTGGACTCTGCATTTTAATCGTATTTATTCATGTAGAAGTTCACGAATGACAACACACGATTTGACTCGGCACCATCGTCTGACAAGTGGTTCACAATCAAATTTATTGGAATCAGCTGATCGCCGTCAAACAGTCAGTGGACTGCCTCGTAGTAGTTCAAATATGCGTACACCGCTTCCAACTCGATCGCCTGGCACTCGAACACCATCCTCCACCGGTACATCGAACAGTGAACAAAATCGACGAATGGCCACAGAAAATGCATTCAAAGTCATGAATCTACTTCAATCAAGTCAAAAATTTTACAAAAGCTTAAATTTAGGCAACACTGGCTTAAAATCCATGACAATGAACCAATTTATTGATATTATTTCGTTTTTAATGGTGAAAATTGGCGGAAAAAATACCATCGCTAAGATTCGCAGCAGTACAGAAAATGTCATCATCTCGTTTATGCAAAGTCTCAACTATCCATATGTTTTGAATAAATCGTGCTTAAAAACGCCAAATGCACAGTAAGTAATTGCATTAAAGTTGAAAAAAGTTAATTTTTTTTATCAAAAAAAAAATCTTCCAATCTCTAGTCACTCGTTCCCTGATGTAGTGGCGATGTTGGCATTTTTGGCCGATTTGGTGTGTGACATAAAGCAGTACACGATTCCAACGGCAATTCCGGTGACACCATGCGAAAACCTAATCAACGACAAATACGCTGAACTATTTTCGGCCGAGACACAACGAAACTACATCGATTACATAGCATCAAAGCGTGAAAATTACTTGGACGAAGAGGGTGAAGCGAAATTGATCAATGGTATTATCGCGATAAAATTGAATAAACCAGACATAACGATCGAAAAATTGACTGAAAAAGCGGAACAATTGCGTAAAATCAGTGCCGACTTGGAGAAAAAACTTGTCGGTTGTGATGATAAAAAAGAGAGTGACAAATACTTCACGGTTATCGAGCACCAAGTCATGAACAGAGAGAATGAAGAAGCAAAACTCCAAGAGGATCTGATTGAAAAACGCAAATGCTTGAAAATGGTGACAATGGTGCGTGATGAAAAGGCACGAATATTGGCCGATAAACAGGTTGAACTACAGCGATTAATGCAAGCCGTCGACAATCAAAAGAGTATACGACTTGACATGAAGCAATTAACAGCACAAGAAATGTCATTGAAAAATGCCAAGGCAATGCTACAAACCGAAAAGGATACGATTCAAGCCGAAGCGGTTGATGCTCAAGTGAAATTGGCACGGTATCAAAAACTTCGAATGGATGCTATAAAAAAATTCAACGATTTTACATTTCATACGACGAAGAAACTCATGCAAATCCCATCGATGCAACGAAAAAATCTCAATGTAAATGATTTCACCATTGACCCGACCGACACCCATGACACAATTCAAAATATTTGCTCACGTCAACGAAAACTTGGCGATGACTGTGCGCAAGATAAGCTCCAGAAAATCGATAAAATCCAACAAAACAATGACAAATTAATCGAATACAAATCACTGCACAACCAATTGAACGATCAATTCATCGCAGAAATGAATCAATTTCAAGAAGCCAACAATAAATTGATTGCATTGAAACGAAAACGATCGGATTTCGAAAGCAATGGATCGACATGTACGAACAAATTAAAGCGAGACATTGAAGAGAAAATTGCCATCAAGGCACAAATTACCGAGGAAATTGCCGTTTTGAATGCGAAAGCACAAGAGCTAGAGACACAAAATAGAGAGATATTTGAGGATGGCGAACGGCAAGCACATGAAATCATACGCAACAAACAATTACTATGCGACGAATTGGATAAATTTAATGAATTCCTTGACGATGAGACTGATAAATTTTAAAGGAAAAATACTTGCCAAAAATTTTATTTTATTTCAATGGAATTGTATAAATTTTTTTCTGCGAACTTTTTTTAAATTTAGCATTTTGATGTAAGAATTGTATTTGATAAGTTAATAAATAACATTTAGTTTGAAAACCGATTTGGAGAAGAAAAAGTCGATTTGTTTTTCATCTCATAGTTCACAATAACAATGTCTGACCTCTGTTCAAAGTGATACATTTTAAATGAGAGAACATCTCACACAGCATGAATTCAAATAGTGCTATCTGCTGCAGTGAATAGTATAGTTAAAATTCCATAAGTGTAAGCTGTTGATTAAGTTTGTGTCTCACAAAAAAATAGCCTATATAAGATGACCACACATCAGACCGTTTAGTTTAAGACGAATCGTCGATCGAATAAGAACGAACTTAGTACGTTATTCGTGTGCAGTACAATACGGTACGCGTTTCATTATTCACGACTAGCTGCGTTAAAGTATTACTCATACGCTTACACACTCCAACGTTTTATACATTCACACAGATAAGATAATATATTGCATCAGTATGGGTCGCCTATCGATGTTGTTTAATATCTCTGTAGTTTTTATAATTCTACTGTCAAAATTAACGTTGGCCAGTGACAACAGCGACGGCAAACGTGAACTCAATTGTACGGCTGTTTTTATTCAGAAAGAATTAAGAGAAGCACAATCAGATTCGGTAAGTACGATGGAGTTTTTTTATTTTTTATTTTTTCGTATAGTTGAAAGTGCGTAGTTATAATTTTATTGCGACTCATTTGCTTACATTGCTATACTCAATTGTGAGAATAACATTCTAATAATTAGAGCTGTGGTTTGTGTAAATAATGTTCGGTGTCAATTATTATATGTGAGATATTGTCAAAGTGTGCTTTTTGCCGGTCATAGAGCAGAGGTTTTTTTTACACAAAGAAGAGAATGAAATAAGGAAATGTATGTAAATGAGGTGACAAAATGAGTAGAGAAGGAGATAGGGAAAGAGAGAAGAAAAGGGAAAGACAATGAAAGGGAGGGAACGAGAAAGAAGGGGAGAGTGGAAGATATAGAGGTAGAGCAAGGGAGACAGAGACAGAAATATATATACTGTTTACTAAAAGAGAGCTAAATATTCAAAACAACAAAAATCTTGATAAATCACCACTTAGCCTGAACGGTTCAATGCATATAAAATGTGTTAAATTAACTCGGGACTGTACAGCGTCATTGTTTGCATGCGATAACTGTTTATATTTGCTTTTGCGTGTTTATTTGCATGCATTAAAGATTGTGTGCCTACACGAAGGAAAGTTTTGAAATAAAAATCCCAAAAAAATTTTTTGTTTTCAATCGCCAATAAACATTCATATTCGAAGTCAATTTGAAGTAAACGCCGTAAAATTGCCTCATGGTAATTGATAATGGGAGATAATAAGTCGTGCGATAATTTTGAAGTAACAGGTGTTTGTTTTGGATGGGACACCGACTGAATAAAAGAATCACCAATACAGTGAAGCGACCATCCAATTCAAAGTAAATTATTAATAAAATAGTTTCACTTGAGTTTATGGTTCGATGAATTTAAGTTATTCATCAAAATACAATGGCTTCTTTCATAGCGAATGATTTTGCTTCGTCATTACATACGTTGCTGTACATGGTGATCTTGAATGTGACGACATCCGAAAGTCACATTTAGATGTCAAATGTATTTATTCAATTAATTATCACTGATTTTAATTGAGTTTCACATTCAAATGAACTCATCCACTTGACTTGTACGAATGATTAAACGGTGGAAATGGTGTAAACAATTTTATTGCACGTACTGTGTATAGAATGGAATGTCAACCAAATTCGACTAGAGTTTGGTCACGTAGAAAGGCATTGGATTTGATACGGGAAGGCAAGCTTGTGATAGCTGGACAGTTGCTGCTATTGGTAGGTGATATTGTAAATCATTTATAACTGGCGCTGTATAACATTTGGAAATATAGTGAATACATGACGGCTACCGCTAAATAGCAGCAACTGAACAGTTGGTCCGACACAAAATCACTTGCCATTTAAGGTAGAGCATTTTATTCTCTACATGGTGCTCAAGGGTCGAAATTCTCATGAAAATATGCCTTAGATCGGAACGACTTCATTTTTTATTCGAATTTAATTGGTTTTTCTTTTCCGAAAGGTATTTTCCTCAATTTATCGGAGGGTTCAGTTTCGTCGATATTAGACGGACTGAGAGCAATTTTATTTATGTTCATCACAGCAATCAATGTCGTCTCGATTGTTTATTGGTTTTCATTCAGATGCTTAAAGCCCCTGGATACAAAACCACGTAAAATCCCAAATTCCATCAAAAACGAATGTACAATTCCAAATCAGGTCAATTATGGTATTCACATACGCAGCACTTCATTTACATGAACCTCTAAAAATCGTTTTATCCAAGATCGAAGCGATAAACTGGCGATGGTACGACATATTTTACCGCTTGCGCACATTAAGTTATAATTATTTATAAATAAAACGTGGAATAACACGAAATGAAAGGCCACACAAGTGGCATATTAAAAATGGATCAACGCAATCCAACACTGCCACTAATAAAGAAAATCGATAATAATTTAAAAAAAAAACAATTCGAGTCCAATTTGTGGTGGTTGCATGTTAAAACCATTTAGTTCTTGTTTTACTTCCAAACTGAAAAGATTGTTTTCCACGATTTGTGTTGAACGGCGAGAAAAGAAACGTTGCTACAATGGAAGATACTGAAGGTCAGCCACAAGAGGTGAGTGAAAAATTCTCGATCAAAATTGAGATTCTCAATTTTTCCTCTTAAGAAATGGATGAGAAATTGAACATAATAATAGAGCATAAATAACACTTGTGAGTCATATCAAATAAGCGTGAAATCAAAATAAGCGTGAAACAATTGCCAAGAATCGGTAGTGCGTAATAAAAAATGGTGAGGTGAAGAGTAAAGTTTTTCCTCTTCATTTTTTGGTGTGTAAATGGAACGGGTCCATATTTTTGGGCCAAACAATTTTAGTCCAGATGGTAAACTGCGATCTTTTAGAAGTAATCGCCAACCTTACATTATAAATGGCGAAAACTTACTCTGCCTTGCATCTTACCCATGTGTATGTTACGAGCTAGACTTTCTGTCGCTAATTTACACACTCATTGTAATTACTCCACCGTAACCGCATGAAATAAATGTACACTTGTTGAAATAGCACCATTATATTTTATTGTTAGTGAAAGCATTTGTTTGCGTTTTGATTTATTGTACATTAGAATTAGAACAAAAAATGCTTGAACAGAAATATGCAAATCATTATAGTGCGGATGAAAAAATTGCATGAAAAAAATGTTATTTTGTAGTGTTTAGCAGAGCTGAATAGTACAGTTGATTTTTTGGTATTATTTTATTGTTTGAGCTGCTTTGTCAGCACTCATTATGGTTGTACGTCAATGACCGAGAATAGAGATGGCTTATCTGTCAGTATGACTTGGAAAATATATCGATTTTGTGCCCATGTAATATAGATCGTAATATTGCCCATAAACTCGAAATTTCACACAAAAAAAAACGTAGAAAAATTTACAATTCAAAATGTGTTGTCCATTTGTTTATTACAGATCAGGTTTTCAACTCGAAATTACTCTCATAAAGTCCAAATTGACCAATATACCTAAATTGCATTACACATATCTATAAAATCAAATAATTTTAAAGCCATTCCTAAAGTGCAACGACACATTTACACAATGATTTAAATTTGAGATATTCAGTGGATTACAATCAAACTAAATTCAAAATTACGATTAGTTCAACATATAGAAAAGTTTACAAAGAAAATTTAATGGAAGCAATTATCATATTAGTCGTAAATAATAAATAATTCAACTGAAGTCAACTAATTTCGGGTCGAAACTAGATAATTTGGTAATTATCCATCGCAACACATGTTTGAAAAAATGTTAGTTGATTGTAGATTAAATCAAGTAAAGTCACTCTGACATGTTTGTTAATTTTTTACGGAAAATATTTTTCAATCCATTTTCCCTTTTCTGCAAAAGAATCCAGAATTCATAATATAATTTGGAATTTTTAGCATTTTTTTTTTAAATTTCTCTTTGATTTTTTAATTTTTCATAATTTCTTTTGCTTCAATCAATTTTCAAGAATTTTTTTCAAATCATCGAAAAATTGCTTGTTCCAAAAAAACCTTTTTCTAGCAAAATTAACAAAAATCCTCAAAATTTTATTTTGTTATTAATTCAGAAAATATTTGAAAAAAAAAATTATTGAGTTGCATCAATAAAATGCTTGTGAATTGTAATTTGCGCTGTTTCTTCTTTTTTTGTGGTAGGCGACTGAACTATGTTGAAATATGTTGTACCGACCGTAATTGTTTTGATTGTTGGCGTGTTGATTTCGAAATATTACTATCAGGTACGCCAAAGCCACCATAAAATCCATTACGACGATAAATTCAAAAGTTCACAAAATTTTACAATCAAATTTAATTTATTACAAAATAATGCCATGATTTCGATCTAGTTTCCCCAAGTGATTTCTTTGTTGACATAACGTTGGAATCAATTCATAGGTGCTTGTGAGTGAAGCTGATGTCAAACTTTTAAAAATAATTCTTTCTTCTTTTTCTACTTTTAATAATTTGAAAACGATAGCTCTACTTTTCTTGAAACTGTAATCTAAAAATCAAAATAAACACTTTGGGGAATGTCAAAATTTTCCAAATGATCCATTAAAACGTCATTGGTTCAATAAAACTGCTTTTTTTAATTTTTCAGTCTGAATCATCCGAAGAAATGGCAAGCGGTAACGATGTGGACTACAAATCAGCATCATCAATCTACGATTTCACCGTAAAAGATACGTACGGCAAAGATGTTTCATTGGATAAGTACCGTGGCAATGTGGTGCTCATCGTGAACATTGCATCACAGTGTGGTTTAACCAAGAACAACTACGCAAAATTGAATGAGCTGAAAAAACAGTACTATGAAAGAGGTAAGATCCATTTGGCTCTATTCACCACACTGACATTTATCAAAACATTTTGTGTGTTTTTCAGGATTGCGTATATTGGGTTTCCCATGCAACCAATTCGCCGGCCAAAGTCCAGAAAATGACGGTGACGAAATGGTTTGCCAGTTGGAAAAGGACAAGGGTGAATTTGGCGATGTCTTCGCCAAGGTAATGGTTTATTGAATCAACATTTCTTCGCTATATCCAACACCGATTAATTAAAATGTATATTTTCTCGATTTGTGTAGATTAATGTGAATGGAAATTCAGCTGCTCCACTATACAAATACTTGAAGGATAAGCAGGGCGGTTTCCTTGGCAGCGCCATCAAATGGAATTTCACCAAATTCTTGGTCGACAAAACCGGACAACCAGTAAATCGTTTTGCACCAACCACCGATCCAATGGACATCGCCAAGGAAATTGAAAAACTTTTGTAGATTTATTGCATTGCGTGTATTTACAGTGTCGCTCAATCATAAAATTCATATTTTTTGACGATATTTTCAATCAAATTTTGCACGTGAATTTCTCACAAATAACTTAAGTAATACGGCATACCAGTTTCGTTCTCATTTTAGAAGAGAATTTAAAAATTTCTGAAAATAATTCGTTTTTTTTTGTACTTTTTAATGAAATTCTTCACTTTAATAAAAATCAAAACAGAACAGTGTTACCTATTGGATTTCAATGTTTTTAAAGCAATGCGTGTTTTTGTGCTTTGGTCACAATTGTTGCTCATGTTATATGTCACAATAAAATCAAGAAAATGAAAGAAAATATTTGGCATTTTAAAGATTGGAACCTGTGGTGAAACACCAGCAACATTCTACAATCTCAATTTTCATAAGCACAACATAAATTTTAAATTATTTCGACAGCAATAATAATGATTTTTTCTAGGGGCTTTTATCTTCAAATGTATACGATTTATACTCTAAATAGTGAACTATATTGCAAAATCATCTTTAATACGCGCAAATAAATGTGCATAACTGCATATATTTGGTGTATATTTCGTATATATTTCGTCTATGGCATGTTTTTTTGTTCTCTTTTGTGCGGATCTTCTTCGATTCTGTGTAGCAATACTGTGTGTGTGTGTGTACACTGAAGTTTGAAATACATCTTATTCACTGGTATAGGCGAGAAATTTTAATCGTATATATGATGAATAGGACGTGAATATTGTGTATAAATTTGTATGAACGAATGATGAAAGCCCCTAGGATTTTGTTTCAGAAGATTAGGAAAGATATTCATTCGTTTCATTCTTTAACTTCATTTGGAATAGTTTCTACAAACGGTACTCTACTGTAATTTTTAAATAACATTTTGCATTTTCAAAGAGAAAAAGACGCACGTACGGACATTTTGTGATTTGATTGCTCTTTATTCAAAATTTTACTTGGACTATGAATTCAATTCTGTAGTTTTTCAATTCTTAAGTTGAGAAAATATAGCGTTTTCTTAAAAACGAATCTGATTTTATTTTTAAATTCAAATGGAATATTGAACTGATTGATAGTTTGAATAAACATTTTCTATTCTGAAAATTATATTCATTAAAAAGGATCCCATTTCATCGAATCCGCTCGTCTCATTTCGATGAAGCTCAAATTGGTGTCACCGTTTCTGGTCGTCCATTTAGTAGCCAAAAAGACATCATCCTGCGCATAAATTGTTATTTTTCGTGCTCCAGACAACTTGGTACGTTCACTATTCAACAGTGCCACATTTAAAACTACATCTCTGTCTTTAGGTTTAAATTTGATTTTGTTCAATTTTGGTGATCGACGAATGAATGGCATAATGTCATCGATATTAGCCTCATCAATGTGAAGACGTTCAAGTTTCATCAGTCCATTTGCTACAATTTCCATATCCTTGGCTTTCGATCCATCCAAAATCATTAATTCTCTCAAATTGGTCAATTGAGCTAAATTATAACTCTTCTCTAATGACAAAATGTACAATAACTCAAGACCTTTAAGTGAGGCTAATGAAGTGCTGTTCTCTTCGTTTAATCTATTGGTGTGAATATATAGTCGCTTATAGAAGCCTTGTTCATGAAGTCGATTTATTAAGTCGCTCAAAATTTTCAACGGTTGTATTTCATATGATGAAGGCATATGAAAGTAAAATCCCCTGAGTTCCAATATATCCAATTTTTCCTTGGAATTTAAAAGTATGTCAGCGTTGCCCCACAAAAAATTTGTAGTTGTTGAAAATCTTTGCAAATTTGGATGGTTGATGAAAAAATCACTTAGCTCTTCAATTCGAGAAAAATCACAAGGACAAGGCCTCATTTCGAAACGTTCGAGCTTGGGATATTTTTGTAATAGCCAGTTGAGTTTACCATTTATTCGTTTACCGACATCC